TCAGTGAATAATAACTGAAACATGCTGTCAAGAGATGTTACAAGAAATGCCTTAATAATATTCAGTGAATAATAACCGAAACACGCTGTCAAGAGACGTTTCAAGAGAAGCCTTGATACATAGGTAATGTTATTTTGTGTTACATTGTGGGGCCATTTGATTATAGCACTAATGGTATGACAAGAACCAAGCCGGTGAGCCTCAGCTATGAACTAAACACATCGGAGAGAAAGAACAAAAAGCTTCCAACTACAAAAAGTCTCGATCCTTTGGGCTGCTCACTAGTCTTTGATAAAAAAAATTAATAAAAAGATTTTGTCAGTTTGGTCAGCTTAAACAAGAACTAATTTTTCTTCAAATGATTTCTTTCTCTAGTTTTAAGTGCTTCACATGCCTAAATATAGGAGTTTATAGGACATTTTGCAGAACTATAGGATACCAAAAATACAGGATTTGTTATAGGATTATAGGACACACTCAACACCCTAGATTAGTTTCTCATGCAGCTTTATACATGAAGTATACGTAATCTTTTGTTTAAGGAATCCTTACCCCCTGCCTCTGAGTCTTTGTATAAAATAAGCTGCTTTGTATAGCTTCCCTAAACAATATCATAATTATTTCTCTACAGTCTACACAAGAATGTAAAATATGCAATTAATGTCGTTGTTCCTAGTGAAAGTAAGTTAACCGTGGTGACTTGCAATTGAACCAGAGCTATTACTCAAATACAAACAACTCGTGATGGTGTTAATGGGGGAACACTGCCTTGCGTTTGGTTAGCCCATGTAACTTCCGGCAATAGCATGACAAAACAACCTCACTTATCTCCCCAGCACTACAAGCTGAATGAAAGACAGCACGTGCTGGATCGGACAAGAGTATCGGTTAACAAGCGATGTTCAAAGGCGATGAAAAAACAACAAGCTTGGGGGAAGTCGCTGTGCAGACTTAACCGCACAGCACAGGAGTGACTCTTTGTTTATTATGCAGGAATACATGACCAACCTCGTCTCCAAAGGGAGGGAGGGAGGGAAAATTAAACGATAGATTTACAATAAGTAATAGCTACATTGCTTAGACGAGCTCAAAATGGACTCTGAACAGTTGTCCGAGCTTTTATATGGAGATGTTCATCTGCTTGTAAGCCAGTAGAAAAAGCTGTACTACCAAACAGCTTACCCTAGCACATGTAACATCTTAAACAAGAATAGTGCTTTAATGCTTTGCACCAATGTTATGATACGTTATAACGTTCAGAAGGTAACAAAGTTACAATGTTTTAGGTTTAGCTACAATAAAGCTTACAGTTTACTGACCTTTGGAATATAACTGTTCAATAGCTCTATAGAAAGTGATGGCGCCATGAACGGCTCATTCAGAATGTACGTCCCACTCCATTAACTATATTTTACTGGTGTGACAGTAAAATCTCATTTGAAACCTCCCAGAAAAGGCGAATAATTTCTTGAAAACTGTTACTATAACTTTCACAATAATTGCTTAAGAATAAAGTTTACACACCAACCTCTTCTGGAACTGCTCTAATGTTAGTGAATCCTTTCCTAAATATGACAAATACTTTTCGAGCACCACATCGAAGAGCTGATGTGCAACAGTCAAAGGCAGTGTCTCCACACCCAAGAACAATAACATTTCCAAACAGTTCTGGTAACCTTGTCTTACAGGAACAAGTCATGCCTACAGCATAATGAGTATTGCATGCCATAAATGATAACCCTAACAAAGCCAGAAGCATTAACACATTTCAGGAAATAGGGGACTCTCCAAACAGGCAAGAGGAATTTTAGTACCTCTTTATTTGTTTTATAGTCTACTTTTTATTCATTATTCAGTCCACTGAATGCTGCCACTTCCAGAGGCTTTTAAATCACAAAAAAATAACTCTCTTACGCCTTATGTGGCTATAAAGGACAGGTGTCCAAAGCAATTATGTTAACCAAAGAGAAAAAGAATCAATTCCATAACTACTGAGAGCAGCTGAGCTAATTTAGTGTTTAATAATAATAATAAATTAATAATTATAATAATAATATAATAATAGAAATAATAATAATAATGATAGTAACAATAAAAATAACAACAACTGTTAATTCACAATTTTAAAGAAAAAGTGAAGAGGAAATAATAGGTTGTCCCTTTCTAGTTTTTTTTCCTTACAATATTATTAAGAAATAAATATAATTGTAAATTAAAAACATGAATAGTTTACATCTGATTTAAAATCATAAATAATTTGCATCTGTTTAAAAATACAAAAGTATTCCATGATGGAAAACTTTAACCTATGCTTTGAACATTCATAAGATAACATCTAAGTCTGTTTTTAAAAGTGTTCAAATTATCTGCCTCAGCTATTTCTTTTGGCAGATTATTCCATGTATTGATTATGCAAAAAAAAAAGAATGTTTGAAACTATTTAAAGTTAGAATTTCACAAATTTGCCAGAAAACAAATATATATGAATGTTGACTTACCAGCCTTGCTTCCCATGGATACTACAGGCAAAAAATCTTTGGAAGTGTAGAAACCATTTGCAATACTTAACTCCTCAAATACTGGAGACAGTTTGGGCTGTGGTAGACCTAATCACCAATTAAAATACAACATGTGAGACAAAACAAATACACTACAACATATTTTTAACCTCATTAAATTTCTTATCAAATTTAAAAATAGGTCCACATTTTGTAGTTGTGAGCTTATGCTTACTTTTATTCCATTCGGTTGGAGTTTGTTTTCAAGAGTCAGTATCTGGGAGTTTAGTTGCTAAAAGTGAGAAGGCAATCACTGCAAAGATAAAGGTGTAACTTTGGAACTGGAGACATTGTACTCATGGTAGAAAACTTGTGGCTCCTAAGTTGCATCCTGGAACTAACACCAAACAAGAGGAACGGACTTGTGAGGAGAGTCATGCTGAATAACCAAGTCCACAGTCCTGGAACATCCCATCAACAAGATCATTCTTCTAGAGGCTCATAGACTTCATGAGAGCAACTAAACATTGTTGATCTTGATGTCCTCAATAGACTACAAGCAGTCTCTCTTTTGCTTGAAAATCTGTGGGAAAGAACACAATGAAGAAAGCAAAACAAGTGTGACTGTGAGTGTGACATGCAAGTGGCAAGCAGCAAAGCCGTGAGCCGTGAGTAACGCAGGCAACTTGCAGCTTCGCATATCACGCTCGCACACTTACGACCCACAGCTTGCGTGAGTTGCATTCTTCTTTGCGTTCTTCCCCAATTTTCGAGCTAAAGAGAGACTGCTCGCAATCTATGTCCTCAACCAAGGAGTTTGCTTGTAATGTCAGAGAACAGTTGTTTCTTTATTGATTTGATTGTGATGAACCATTTCGAATGGATTTAGTGGCAATATATTACTCAAGTTTCTCCAACTGAGTCACTCAACAACAGGTAAGTCTAAATCCCTTCAGTTCGCATAAACGGCCGGTAGCTAGGATTCAAACTTGCGTGACATTTTCCCTACATGCGTTACACTTGATTAAAAATTAAACTCGTCAATCATAACATAAACATATAAACATAAAACCTTTATTTCAACACCATAAGAATCTACATGTACAAAGCCACAAAGCTTTTGGGGTCATGTATACTACTACATTAAAATGTTAATTAAAATATATACACTCGTTTAGCCAAGCCTAAAAGAGGAGCTCCGATTAAGCCCTGAATAAGATAACCCAAGTTAAGTGAGAATTTTAATTTGAGTTTTGTAACTTTGCAATGACGTTTTCTATATGTTGTTTGCCTTTCTGTTTTGAGTTTGAATAATCTCAAAATACACAAACAAAAGTAGTGAAAAACATTTGTATACAAGAAATATTTATACTTCTGTTAACTTTTAATCCTGGGTTAGTGTTAACCGGCTTCCCAACATCCTGGGCCCCGTTTACAACAAGTTAACCTCACATGAGCCTGCAATCCAATAGAAAACCAGCACTAACGGTCAGCCGTCAACTTCAAAACGCATGTGGCCTCGATAAATTCTAAACTTGAGCCACCAATATGGTCATGTGATACTGGTCGGCAGATACCTTGTTTTGACAGGTGTCAATTGACCATAACATGGATAACCAATATCAAAGGAGGCTACGTTGAACAAACGTGACAATTTAGCTCTTTGTGCCAACTTTGTAACTGGATACTTTTATTTTCTTCAGAAAGGTACGTAATATGAAACCCTTGTTCCACCAAACCACAAAGAAAGTTAAATATCTCATGAAAAAATAGAAGAGAAACGATTTTTTTTTTCTCAAAACACAAATTTGCTTATCACTGATGAACAAGAACTAATTTAATAATTGCGACCTTACATAGGAAAACGTACACTACACCTTATCCGTTAAACGGATGAAAGCGTATTTCATCCATTTGTTATCCATTTGTAATCTGTTTAAATGTTTCATGAAAACCGTTTCGAGCGTTAAGTGAAGCATTTAACATCACGATCAAACCGTTCGAATGGCTTTCGCAACCATTCATAACTTTTCCGGATCCGTTAAAATGAAAAGAGGTATCTGTTAAGAACATCTAAGCAGCCGTTAAAATGGCAAAAGCAATCCATTAGAGAAATCTAACCATCCATTAAAACGGCAAAAGCAATCCGTTAAAAAATCCAAGCATCCGTTTGAACAGCAAAAGCAATCCATTTAACAAATAGATTCCATGTTGCCGTGCGTCTGTTCAGTAATAGATCACAGACAATGTCAAAATGTGGTAAGAACAAAAAAGTGGCACACAAGGCGATAACCGAGTGTGTCGCTGATGTTCTTAACACGTTTTGACGTCTTCTGTGATCTATTACTGAGCAGACGCACAGCAACATGAAATCTATTTGTTTTATATAATAACGAAACAAACTACTAAAGATAAAGTAATTTTTTTTATTCCAAAATCTTTCAACATAACTCGAAAGCCGGCCTTTGCCCACTCTGGGGAACACGAAAAAAGCCATTTGACGTAATCTATTGTCTATATAAATTGAAGCAATCTCATTGGTTGCTATGCGTAGCAGAGAATTGTGATTGCTCCAGAAAAATCACGCTACTGTCAAACTTGACTTGAGTGTTGCTTCTCATGGAATGAAAACTTACAGCGAAAGCAGAATTGAACTGCGAAATCTTCGAATCTTAAAGAAAATGCTGGATAAGTCAAGTCAGTTTTTTGGCATCAGAGCAACCCTGTGAGCCGAAAAGCTTGGATGTTGCCTCAAATATTGCAGGAGTTGAAAAACTACGCTTGGAAAACTTGCAGTTGCAGTCAACCCGGAGGCCATTCGATTCGAGTTTTGAATGAAAGGAGCATTAGTGATGGTGGAAATTTGTGTCCTCTGTGGTTGGTGATTCTCAAATCAGTTTGAAATAGT